ACCATTGTGTGGCCAAATCCATGTTTTACTGACCTCAGCCCCAACAGAGCCCCTGTGGCTTGTTGTGACTGCCCAGCAGCGTTTCTGCATGCATGGGGATCCTTACAGCTCCCTTTACATCAATATAGTAGTTGTATCTATGTTCCTCTAGTCTCCATGGTGGCTTGTTTCCTTGTTTAGGCTTTTGTTCTCTCACAGCTGTAAGCTACTCATAATCAAAGCAGTTCAGTAATAACACAAGTTGTTGCTTTTTGAATCTGTTTTTAAAAGAAAATCCATCTTACTTAGCCTGCATATTGTCTCATTTGAGCATGTCTCTTTTGTGCGTAGACAGTCTTGCATTTTGGGTATGTCTCAAGGGAAAGAAAGTAGTGAATGCTCCAGGACTTTGCAGGTGCCCTCAAAATAAAATGATCAAACCAATGCTAGGATGATATGAAGAAAAGTGGCCTGGGTTCTAAATCTCAGGCAAACTTCTTTGAGGAGGCTGGAGGATAGAGCTGCCTTTAAAAGGAAAGCTGCCTCATCAAGCTCAACAAAAACAAATGTCAAGTCTTATGTCTGAGACCAAATGACTCCATCAACCAGGATGGTCTGATGCTGTTCCCGCAATGGTGGCAGATCAGTCCCTTCCAATGGACTTTGCTCAAACTTCTCTTCATTCTAATCTCATTTTAATATCAATACACAACCCCATGCTAGAAGTTACCTGCTTCCAAGGAACGGCCACACCTCACTGAGCATGCTTTCCAGATTTTCAATTAACTTGGGAGACCTTTTAAACCAATAAATAATGAAAGTATGTATGACTAGAGTCACTCAAGCTCCAACTAAATCTAAAAAAGGTATAAAAGGTAAAGTAAGGAGGGTAGTAGTAGGAAGAAAGAAAGAARGAAAAAAAGCAGGAAGAAGGAAAGGAGGAAGAATAAGAGAATGAACGAAGGAGAAATGAAGGAAGAGGAGAGAGAGGGAAGATTCCATTTTAACTTCTGGATCAGTTGACAGGTTGAACCCCTTTCTTCCCCTCCAGTCAGGACACTGCCTGAGGAGACTCCTCGAAGTTGAGARCCCTCTCCCATCTTCTGGGGTGAGTGATGATTGTGCATTTGTACACTAGGTGCTAGCTAAGAATACCACACTGTAGTAGAGATTTTCCTATACTGACATCCAAAACCTGTTATATATTGTGCTACTTGTGAACTCGACTAYTTGTCTATGGTCTGCATGTAGGACCATAGAGGAACTCAGGTTGACAGGGACTTCTGGAGGTCTCTAGYCCGGCCTCCTGCTCAACACTGGGTGAAACAGGTGAGGTTGCTCCCAGTTTAGTCTAGYTGAGATTTGAATAATTCCAACCTGGTCAACAGGGGAGGTCCAAGATGACTGGAGACTTGCCAATGTGACACCCATCTAAAAGAAGGGTTGGATGAAGGATCTGGGGAACTACAGGCCTGTCAGCCTGACCTTGGTATCAGGGAAAGTTACRGAGCAGATCATCTTCATGGTGATCACACAGCCTGTCTGCAACAACCAGGACATCAGACTCAGGCAACAGGGGTTCATGAAAGAAAGGCCCTTCCTCATCAATCTGATCTCCTTCTATAACCAGCTAATCTGCCTAGTGGATGAGGGAAAGGTGGTGGATATGATCTGCTTGGACTTCAGTAGGACTTTGGAGAGGCTGGCAGCTCATGGCTTAGACAGGTGTACTCTTCGCTGGGTGAAAAACTGGCTGGATGGCTGGGCCCGGAGAGCGGTGGTGAATGGAATTTAATCCAAATGGCACCAGTCATGGGAGGTGTTCCCCAGGGCTCATTGTTGGGGCTCATGCAGCCCTACAGGYGTGGGGCAGAGCGGCTGGAGGGCTGTGCRGCAGAAAAGGACCTGGGGGTGTCAGTGAACAYGAGCCAGCAGTGTGCGCAGGGGGCCRAGAAGACTCAYGGCCTCCTGGCTGCTATCAGGAACAGTGTGGCCAGCAGGAGCAGAGAAGTGACCATTCCCCTGTACTCAGTGCTGCTGAGACCGCACCTCGAATCCTGGGTTCAGTTTTGGGCCCCTCACTACAAGAAAGACATTGAGGTGCYGGAGTGTGTCCAGRGAAGGGCAACTGTGAAGGGGCTGGAGCACAGACCTTATGAGGAGCACCTGAGGGAGCTGGGGTTATCTAGTGTGGAGAAGAGGAGGCTCAGGGGAGACCKTATTGCTCTCTACAACTATCTGAAGGGAAGTTGTAGTGAGGCGGGGGTTGACCTCTTCTACAGAGTAACTACAGATAGGACAAGAAGAAATGGCCTCAAGTCACACCGGGGAGGTTCAGGTTAGRCCTTAGGAAGAACTTTTATGCGGAAAGAGTAGTCAAACATTGGAACAGGCTGCCCARGGAAGTGGTGGAGTCACCATCCCTGGCAGTGTTCAAGAAATGTGCAGATGTGGCTCTTAGGGACATGGTTTAACAGGCATGGTGATGAAGGGCTTATGGTTGGACTTGATTATCTYGAAGGTCTTTTCTAACCATAGTGATTCTATTACTCTAAACCCTTCTGTGATTTCACTGTGGAGACTCAACCCCCCTCTGGGTATCTGAACTCTGTTCAAGATGTCTACAATCTCTCTGCAATTTGGTTGAAACTGGATACTGAATTAAAAAGCTACTGGGTACATTGGGTTAGAAACAYACTCCAACCAGCCATTGCTCTGAGTGTTGATACAGGAGGATGTAAGACGTACACTGTAAAATGAGGCTTCAAAGCATCCTGTGTGCCCTCTGCGTGCTCYAGTGTGGAGCTTCTGCAAGCTGGCCATGGGTCATTCCACATACACGGGCCAAGGGGGAAATTCATCTCAGCCTGAGCTGCAATAAAAATTGCTCACAGCTAGCTATATGTTTCCAAATGGAGGCACAGATAATCAACAGAGGCATCGGAGGGTTATCAAATCCTGTCAGATGGCAGATGTAATAGGTAATTAGTCTCTGACCCAGCCTATTATTTGCTGAGAGTTTCTCTGTTCCCTTGAGCTTGGAGACTTTCACAAGGAGTTTTCTTTTCTTTTTTTTCCCCTTCATTCCCTCTCTATGAGTCTCCCCAGGGCTCTCCATGCATCTTTTGAGACTAATGCACAATGACACTCTACATTATAGGATTATTAGGACCTTCAGAACCTGGACTTTACAGGTTGAATATTTTCCTAGTAGTAGATCTTACCTGTCACTATAGTCCATCATCTACTAAGAATATCAGTGTCACTTCTTTGACACCTCCTGACTAAGCCAATATGAGATGAAGGTTTCACTTCCAAGAGAGAGGGAAGCGTCAAGATAGCTGCTGTGTTTGGGAGAAGGACTTCTTCCTCTCTAGGATGCCAGAGCTGAACACTAAGTCAAAATGCAGGAGAACAGAGCATCTTGGTATCCTCAAAGTGAAACCTATTAGATATGAAGTCTCTTTTGAACCTGGAGAAAGCATAAAATGACTCAATGGCTTCTGAATGACAGATACATTCATGCTGACCTGAATGACAGGAAAGTTGACTCAGTTTCACAAAGCTGCTTTAAAAAAGAAAAACACCTGAAGTCATTTTCCCAGTATCTTTCTACTGAATCAGTGTACTTCCAAGAATCTATCTMTGCCGAGGAGTTCCGTCCTGAAACTTCCTCCTAACTTCCTCTGACCAATCATTCACAGCAGACCTATAGCCCCTACGTCTTCTTCCTACTCTCACAACTATTTCGCTCCCAAAGGAAGGATTAAACACTGACAATTAATCTGGAACTTGTGCCAGGTACTTTTGTAGCTCAACAAACTGGCATAGATAGAGCTGAGAACATTTTGTAGTCAGTTTTGAATGGTATGGCTCTTAAAACAGYGGAAATCATTGCAGCAGCAATTTATGAAGATATTTCTCTGACCATGATTTCACAGTTCTTTCTCCTTCCAGAGTGGCTGTGCAAGCAGGCAAACCTATTTTTTTGTTGTTCTTGAGGTGTGAGTTTGATGCTCCATGTGTACGAATGTGCACTGACTTCTGGTGAAGCCATATGGCTTTCTCAGTGCACTTTAGGCACCCTTTCTCCTCGTCTGAGTGCACAAGGCAAATCATGTCCCTCTCATCTGGGATGGCTCTGCAGGCATGCTTGCCTGGAGCTACTGGCCCAGGAAAAGCCACTAGAGTAGAAGAAAGCGGTCTAAGGTGTGTAAGTCAAACAAAGGAAGACCCTAAGGTTTGTTTTCACAACAGCCTGCTTCACTTTCTTGGGTGGGTGGTAGGTTTTAGCTGCCTCCTCAGTCTAGTTTGGTGAGGTGGCTTAGACAGTGTTTTGAGAAGCAGTGTGGAGTTGTGTCTGTCCAGAAAGGGGACTTACAGCTTTTCACAGCCCACTGGAGACTGAAGAGAAGAAGACATTCTTGTAGGAAGCGAATCCTGCTTCCTAGGTAGATCTAAGCCATGACACAGCGCCAAAGCACCTTGTCCTTTTTCAGTTCTTCTTGCTCTTCTACCAGCTGCCATTGCTTCAAGGAGCTCTCCTCAGACATTTCCTCTGATTCAACCACATCAAAGCCTGTGGCTATCCTGAAGCCTAAGTGCCTCCAGCCTATGGAGATACCATGCCTCCTGCAGACTAGGAGATACCACGTGCTATCTCCTGTGAGTGCAACATTCAGCCTGCACAACCGTTACCAAAAACCATAAGGCAGACTCTCCACCTGCAAGGTTTACTGAAAAATAATTGCATTCTTCTTATTTTTTACCAATATGCAATGATTCTGGAGCCTCATGGTATGCTCTATACTGCTGCTCTTCCCCTGGACCCTCCTCACGTCCATCTAAATAAAGTATCACACGGAGTGTTAGCAGCTGTATACCATGTATTTTAATAAACTGTATAACTAGCAGAAAAATAGTTTTGGATGTGTTAGTCCTCCTCCCCGCCCCTTAAAAAAATTAAAATGAAAATCAAAACAATACCAGCCCCAAAACAGAAGGAAAAAATTGGTCACAGGGCAAAACAGATGCAAAATACAGAGTTGAAACAAAAGGTCTTTGATGACATTTTGGATAAAGAAATCATATTAATAAAACACAAGGTAGTGAATAAAATTCTTATTGTTTTGCTCGGGTTTTTTTTCCTCTCTTGGTATGTATAGACATACATATTTATCTTCTGACAAACCCTTGGTGGGATGAAATGGTRTATCTAGAAGATAACAAAATAAAAGGGGTGGCTGTGGGGAAGGAGTGAAAAAGAAAATAAATGCATCATTGAATTCAATGAAATAAGAACAACGTTCAACTTCCTTACAATATACCGTTATGGAGCAGCACAGCAAGATAATGTCACATGTTATCCCTCCATGGCTACACAAAGCGACCCTGGTCCATGGATGAGCTGTGAGCTTGTAATCTGAGTGATCTCAATCACTGCTATGTGTCCGAGCAGTACTTCAAAATGTAGGAAGCATTTATTCTCCTGGTTAACTCCCATGCTTTTCCATGATTTTAAATTTCAAGTTGATGAATATTTCAGTTTGCCTTTTTCTTATTTTTCTCTAGGTTTTTTGTGTTTACTTCTGCACAGGTCTCCACCGCAATGTGGAGCGATCCAAATGAGCCCCGTGCCACAGACTGTGCCATTATCACAGTGTGACTGGATGGAAATATTCAAATACTCACTTCTCAACAGATCACTGTCTACTTGGACCTCACCCTCGGTCTGTGAAGACAAGTCATGCAGTAATCCCAGCCACTTTGCACTGGCTGGGYCTGTGGGTCACCTCTTCATCCCAAAACAAGGAAAGGAAAGAAAGGAAAAATATTTTTCTTCTCTTCTTGCATGGTAGCCTACCAATACGAGTAGGCAATACCATTCTATGCTGAGGTCTCTGCTTCACCATCAGGCAAGTGAGTCCTGCATTCAGGGAAAAACAATAAAGAAAACAAGGCGTCCTCCTGTTGTTATCTGTTGTGAGCTGTTATCATGGGCTTTCAGAGAACCAGCTGCTGTCCATGCTTTTCCAGATTTTGGTGCCGTGCTTAAGAAGCAAACTAAGCACAAGCTCATGCTGGTTGTAAAGTTCAGGTCACTGACACGGTGTTCAGAGAACAGCGAGGGTACCAGCTTCTTGTACACACCATATTGCAAGGAAAGCAAAGCCAAACACCCCATCTCCCATACTCCCAAATTGCTTCCTTCTTTCCTTTCATTTCGTTCTTTCATTCTTTTTTCTTTCTTTTCTTGCAGAGGTGCTTGAAAAGAGACTCCTTGGAACTCTCCTCACCCCAGCCTATCTTCCCACCCTACAATAAGACRCAAGACAATCTCATCCAGTACCTGCCCCGAGAAGGTGTTTATTTGTCTCTTGGTCTCTTGGAAAACCATGCAGTCTGATCTGCTGGGAAATGCTGTAGTGTGAGTGCCAGGTGGCTGGTTCTCCTCTTTCCTGAGGCTCATAAATGGTTGTTTTTAGACAGGTAGGCGATAAGAGCCACGGCCACTCCAACATAGATACCAGTTCCAATTGTGATGGACAGCACAGCCAGGAAGAGCGCTCGCCGGGAGCTGGAGCTTGCGTGGTGGAAGTCCCCTTTGGCCACTGCTTTGTTTGTCTGCAAGATATACAACAATAAGAGCACAATATGTTTATTTGTTTCACTGAAACATCCTAAGATATGACAGCAAACTAGCTGGATTTTTTTTCTAGTCAAAAACTTTTTTGGTTGAGTTTGGTAGCACGTATCATAATGATGATGACAGAACCAATGTCAAGCATCTCAAGTGGCTATAAATTGCCTATAAACATGAACTTATCCTAGGATTTAATACCATGCCTCATGATGATTCCTGAGAAAGTGGATAGATGGAACTCTGCCATGTTCCCTTGCTGTTCCATGCAACAACAGATACAACCTTGTGAGAGTCTGTGGGATAATTCTCTGCTTCTAAGTTGCAAGGCAGTTTCCACTCTATTTTTTTGTTGTTCTTGTCTTTTTTTTTTTTTTCTTTTTACTCTCTTACTACTCAGAGCAATGCACAGCAGCCAAATGACAAGCTTCCAAGCTGAGAAAAAGACTTCTGGCCTTTCTGTCACTGACTTTATTAGGAAAACTGTCTCTTCTCATTCATCAACCTATTTTTTAAGCATAATGTCTTATAAATGTTTCAGGAAGAAACAGTGTCAAACAACACATTTTATGAGAAAGGCACAAGGTTGCAGGAGGGAGGAAAAGGATAATTTCAAAGAGCAACATACAAAAAAACTCCCAGGTTTACACCCAGGGTCATGTTTCCTAGTTTAGATGGGAAAGACATCCTGGCTACTTTGTAAAGAATATCAGGAYGGCTTTTTGACAACAGTGGCCACTGATTTCATGAGCATCTTTTCTGGGACTACCAAGGAAATGAAAAGAGAAAAAAAGTTGAGCGCTTTCTGGAAAAAAAAAATCTGGGGGTTTTGAGCTTATGGCTGCATTTGTTAGGWGGTCTTAAAAGTCTTGGCAAGAAAAGCAGAGGAAGATCTAGAGAGAAAGAAACAGTCTTTCAGTCTTCCTCAAAGATTTTCTCCAAGCATCTGCTATCTGCTGTCCATCTGCACATCAATAAAAGGCTTGAACGGAGAGGCTCCTATTCTCTGAAGTTAGGTTGGATTTACAAAGGGTAGCTTCATATGGCTGAAGCTATTTGTGCCTTTGGATAAAGAGAGGTAAAGAGTTTCACCTCCCCAAATGGAGGGAAGGTTTGAAAATATTATAATATTTCAGTTGGTCACTTCTGAAATGTTAGGTTATATTATGGACAATTCTGCAACATTCTGAACTGACTTCTTTTAAATGCAACTTTTTACATTCACAAACCAGCATTTTTTCCCTTAAAAATTGACCTAAATTCAAAGAGAAACACAAACCATTAGGCAAAATATCAAATAATACAAAAACTTGACAATACATCCTGATTGGGTTTATTAAAACAGGCTGGATCTATCCAAAATGATGTTGTGCAACCCAAACGCTGATTTGTTCAGTCTAATGGCTTCTTTCTCCTACGAAAGCCTAGTGGCTTCTTTCTCATAGGATCATCAGCCCAGGGATAAACCTCACAAAACCATTTTTTTTTGTTGTTGTTGAGGAGCTTGTTGAGGATGGTCCTGACCTTTGTGAAAGGATTATAGGYATGGTGAAAATCCAGCTTCTTATTAAAATGTCCAACCCAGAGGAAAACATATTTCATATATTGACTATGTGTTGCCACGGAGTGGTATCATTATGCTGCAGTCTGAATGTGACCAGCACTTTCACAGACCTTCTCATTTCCAACAAATTACTGAATCTAAGTTTTTTTTTTCCTTTGGACCTAACGCATATTTTGTAATTTAGAGAAATCAAATTCCCATGAGATCTAATTCAGAAGGAAGAGGCTATTAGTGAGGGCACCTAGGAAAGAAAATTTGTCACTCCTCCTTCAATGCATTCAGAAGGGCTTCCASTGAGATGGAGAAATCACCAACAGGGAAGCTGTCCTCTGTGAGTGTAACCCCAGGCTGAAAGGCTTCCCTTATGATTCGGATTTTTTTTTTTTGTTTTCTTTTTTTCCTCTTTAGTAAACAAAGACATCTTCAAGCAGGCCATGGTCWGGTTGTTCACTTGTCTTCATAGTGCCTGTATCTCAGCTATTTGTAACTGAAAATTAAAACTTAAAAGGGTTTTCCATGTAAGACCAGAGTCAGAGGCCATAGAGGGACAGGAAAATGCAACCATTCAAGTCTGCAACATCCAAAGATGACAGACATACAGAGAGAAAGATGTGCTGCAAACACTTCTAGGCTCTTGTTGCCAGTCAAAATATTGGGAATTCATGCAGAGAAACAAATTCAGCCCTCCCCTTCTGAAACGAGTTTACCGTCACATGCTTTTTTTTATTATTATTAAGATTTTATAATGCCACTTCTTGTAACTTTACACTTCTGGTTAAAATTACCCCGGGAAAAAAAAATGATGTTGTCTCCACTTTCATTAAACAGCCTCATCATGGACACTCACAGCACTTCTGATGGACATCCTTGAGTGCCAAAGGCACCTTGATCTATTCAGAAGCCTTGTCTAAGATGACAAGTCTGAAAATCCACTCAGCAGTTTATGCTCAATCAAAGGTAGCAATTGGGTAAAGTGCACTCGTAGGTCTCCAGGGACAATGTGACAAATGATAAAAGGCAGTGTTTGTCCAGTTGTTCATTCCCACTCTGGAGATGCATTTGCAAGAACTCCACATTGCAAACTCAACTCTGGCCTCACTAAGCCAAAGAGCCAATAAATTCCCCTCCCAGAAGCAAAGTCCCACCTATGGAAAATCCTAGGAATTCCTAGGATATTATTCCTAGGAATTATACCAAGGAATCCTTAGCAGGTATTAAGTGGTCTAGCACAGGAGGACAGTGCAGCAAGGACTTGTGCAAGAATAAAAATGCACATGTTCTACTAGATAAGGCCTTGATGATTCACTAAAGCAGCTCCAAGCTAAATGCTTTGATTTACGAAAGGAGGAAAGCCAAGCAGCCATACTGATGGGCTTAAAAGTGCACACAAAAGTGCATGCTCTACCTAGTCAGAATTATAACTGTTGGTTTTTATGGTACTCACAACCCTTTGGTTCTTCCCTTCCTTGCTAAGACTGTGGCTGGCAGCCAGGTGATTGATGAACCAATTTAAGGCCATCTTTGGGTAGCAGGACCAACAGGCTTGATAAACACAGCGGGTGACAAGTGCAAGACACTGGATAAATTACAAGTGAGGAATAATTCATCACATCAGCATGAGGCAAGCTCTGCCGCTGCGCAGGCAGAATATGGCATAGTTTTTCTACAAAGGGTTCATCTCCCTCAGCCATCACTGCCTTTTGGTATTCCTTTGCTCCGTGTTTCCCAGGATGCCCAGGCATGGCCATCAACTTCCCAACTTGAGGCACAGACTGTGATGGAGGGACTCCAGAATCCAAAGCGGAGGCTGGAGTGAAGACCAGCCTCCAAACAATCCTGTCTTCTAGAGGCTTTGGAAGTTGAAAGTCCATTCCATTTTCTGTCAAGCCATAAAAGTGGGGGGAAGGAGATCTGAAAAGACTTTCTTACTTGGTTTAATTGACAAAATGAGTATCTTCTTGTCTGGAAACATTTTCAAGGAATGCTCCTGGATTATTTACTTGAGCTCCTGCAAAACATCCATCATGTCTATGGACTGTGTGTTTTAGAGTCCAGGAGACCTAAACACCCCCATAGCTGCAAGGATTTAAAAAAAAACCCACCTTGCTGTATCTCACAGAGGCTCATATRTCATACTCACAAAATACCTTCTGGGAGGCTGTCTCTAGAAAGAAGAAACACATTGGTCACAATTGTGACGTACCTCACCTCACTGAGACTAGAGAGCAGGAATGGCCCACGCAGTGGGAAGACAGGCTATTGACCCATTTGCTCGAGTGATATAAGGGTTTATTTTCACCCTCTGGGAAGATTGGCTGGCAAGGATACCCAGTGTCCATGCAGATACAACCCTGAGTATTCCTTCTCAAAAGTCAGGCAAAGAAGGCCTCAGGATAAGGTGCAACTCATGGAGCAATTGCTTCTGCTCCCATTGTTTCTCCTTTTCTGCCATCTCCTTTTCTATCAAGAAATTGGCCATTGCTTTTGATTTGTCCAAACCGTGCTTCTGGCCTCAAGTGGCCTCAAGTTTCTGGGTGGTGAGATCTTCCCCCTTCTGGCCTGCGCCACTTCCTTTCACCGAGGGAAAGGACTCCAGAGCCTTTGCTAAAATTGTAGGTAGGAGAAGGGATTTGCCTCTGGGTCTTGAAAGGCAGAAGGGAGATTCCAGTCAGTGGGGAAAGTCATGAGACTGGCTGACACCAGGCACAGGGTACGGGAGATTACCAGGGTAGGGGGGATGTGGCAGGAATGTTTCCATATCTGAGGAGAGGTCTGTAGCATCTTGAGAAGAGCTACTGCAGTTCTCTTAGCTTTGTAGCCAGAAATACTGATCCAAGCAAGTGGCAAATGGTCCTTCTATCTGTTGAGCATTTGCAAATTCCATTACATTTGTAGTGTAATTAAAAAAAAAAAACCAACAAAAAACAGCCTGTTGCTACTTGCTGTTTGGGTACGTAAGAGCTCTTTTGCAGGTTTTCGCCATTTCTGCTGGGAAGTTGGCCCAGGAGATGGACATGACACTTGTGAACATTCTCTGTCTGGAACTTACTGGAAATCATGAGGAATAGGTTTCACCTGAAATCCTGACATCACCTGAAATCCTGACCTGAAATCAGACAATCCTAAATAGACCAAGATACACAAAACTCCTAGACTCAGTCCTGCACTTAATCTCTGCTGATGTTTACATTTCTTGTTCTCCTCAAGGGAAGGCCCCCTGTCTAGACTAATCTGGCCTTCTGAATGCAGACTGCAATGGTCTGGTGAGCTCTGAGATGGCTTAGCATGATGCCAAGGGCTGTGTAGTTGATTTTCCCCTAAGGAGATGCTGAGGAACAAGGAATGCTTTGGGGAACAATGACAAGAGGGTGAAAAGGCATGTCACTGGAGCTTCTTTGGCTCCTAAGACAGGGATCAACT